TTACACAGCGCGGGAAAGTTCTTTTGAATTTTCCCACGCTGTGTAAAATGACAAAGAGCACTCTGATTGGCTTAAACCCACCAATCAGAGTGTTTTTAGCCTAATTGCAGGGCGGGGCAAGGCTCTATAAGCCTTCCCCCGCCCTGTGGAGCTCAGTCTGTGCTGAGCCCTCCATGGGTGAAGATGGATTATTTTTTTGCGCTCGGGTTTTTTCTTTTTCGTCTGTTTTTTTTTTTGCGCTCTGGATTTGTTTTGTTTTTTAGTTCGACGGTTATGATTGTTTTTTATTTGGCCTTTTTTGGGGCTGAAAAATTAAGATTTGAGAAAAAAAGAAGACGTCGAATGGTAAGTTTAATTTTATTTTACAGGTTAGTTGCTTTATCCCCCTCACTATTTTTAGGTGAGGGGGTAGGTAGGACTTGTTTTTGGTGGGGTGGGTGACTAGGGCTTGGGGACCCCTAGTCACCTTGCACTGACTTAGGGGCCCCACCCCCAGGGGGGGGGGGGGGGGGGGGGGGGGGAGGACAGTAGGTCCCCCCCCCCCTCATTATCTTCATGGCCCCCACCCGCCGCCCAGGGGTGGGGAGCGGGGGGGGCAGTAGGTCCCCCCCCCATTCTCATATGGCCCCCACCCGCCGCCCAGGGGTGGGGGCCGGGGGGGGGGCAGTAGGTCCCCCCCCCTCATTATTTTCATGGCCCCCACCCGCCGCCCAGGGGTGGGGGCCGGGGGGGGGCAGTAGGTCCCCCCCCATTCTCATTATGGCCCCCACCCGCCGCCCAGGGGTGGGGGCCGGGGGGGGGAGTACTGTCCCCCCCCTCATTCTCACTATGGCCCCCACCCGCCGCCCAGGGGTGGGGGCGGGGGGTAGGACAGTAGGTCCCCCCCCCATTCTCATTATGGCCCCCACCCGCCGCCCAGGGGTGGGGGGAGGCCCCCCCCCCTCATTCTCACTGTTTAGGGGTGGGGGCCAATAGTTGGTTTTTTTTTGTTGTTGTTTTTTTTACAGTGAGCAGCCACAGGCTGCTCACTGTTTAGTGGACATGCCCCTACTCGCGGTATAGCGAGTAGGGGCATTTTGGAGAATTTTATCTCCCTTGTGCTATTATGGGGGTCATATTGACCCCCATAGAGTGAGAGGGGGACCTGGGGGGGCTTATGAAGTGGTGGGGAGCACTGCTCCCTGCCGCTTCTATAGTTACATATTACAAGGAGGGAGCTGCGTGCCGGTAGCTCCCTCCTTGTAATAACCTGCACGAACAAACTAACACTGATACATTGTGTTTGTTTGTTCGGCTGATCTTTCTATTCACTCATTCGTCTGTCTGATGGATGAATGAATAGATGAAATTCCCGTTCGCATGTCCAGGTGTTTCACTGGGCATGTGCGGGAATCTCACAGTCTGCCTAGTGTGGGCTGATGACGTGTCCCTGAGGGACTTCATCTACCCACACAAAGATGGCGGCGCCCTGAATATAGATCGGGGCAGAAAATAAAGATTTAAAAATAGGTAATGTGGGGGGCTTAGGGGCATTTGGGGGTGACTAGTGGGTCAATTGGATGTAGTGGAGGCGGGAGGGGGGTTAAAAAAAAAACAGAATTCGGCATGACAGTGCCGCTTTAAATGTTTGTTTTATGTTGCCACACCCGTTTGTTTTCCATTTTCCTTTTGTTTCAGTCTGGACCTGCAGTAGTGTTTCAAGTCTCTGCCATTTCTTGCAGGTAAGTGCTATTGTGGTTTAGTATGGTTCTTTTAGCGAACATTAGGCAGTGTAGGACCTGCCAGATATGGGGTACATTGGCGTTGTTAGCAGGCTTATGCAATGTATGATCATATAATGTGACTAAATCCCCATGATTTTCATATATAGTGCTTAGTTATTTCTCCTCTTGTTTTGTCATTCATAGCTTGCCTTGTTTTAGTTTGTATTCCCAGTCCATGTACAGTCCTGTCCATGTTATGTCAATGTTTCCCTTATGTACTGTGTACATGTTCTGGGTTTAGCTTCCTATCCTTCTCTGGTTCTGGGTTCTACTAGTTCAGTCTTGTTTTCATGTTTGGTGACTATCCTAGCCTTGTTTTCTGTACTGGATACATGTCTGCTGCAGAGCCTCCCTATTCAGCTCCTGGGGGGGCTGCTTACTTCCTAGCTTCAAGTTCCTGGGATCCGCTATAGCTGCATCGGGGACCTGGTATGTGGCCGCCCAAACGCTGGTGCTCAACACCAGAGGGCGTGCGGTTACCCTGCACCAGGCCCTGATAGTCCATTACCACGCTAAGACTCCCACTTCTCATCAGGCACTCAGGGGTCCCGGTTTCCGTACTGCACCCTGACAGTGCTAAATCCACAGGAACCTGCATTTACGTTATTGCAGATCTGGGATTTGCAAAGGAAAACAATATTACAGCCGAGCTTGTCCTTAATCACTCTCTCAGGTTTAGTTGAGGGAGTAGGAAAAGGATAGGCCGCACCCTGCACAGAGGTATTGGGACATAGGTTAGTGGTGGGTGAGGATGAGGAGCAAACACCTACAAGCTGGAGACCTGAGGCCCACGAAGTGCCTGCAAAATAGTTCTGTATCAAGCTGGCTCAAGTCTGTCTGAAAATTAAACTGAGCCAGGGACGTAGACTCCTTTGTGGAGAATGATCTGTGGTAATCATAAAAAGAAGTACCACCATATTTATGCCCCAGGTCCACCAACTTGTGTAAATACAAGTCAAACTCCTCCCTATGTTGTGGATACACTGAACACACCACATCCCTATAAATCCCACAAGCTAGGACAAACTCAGGGATAGACAATTTCCTATTCAACCTGGGGTCCTAAGCCTTCAGTACAACAGACACATCGCCATAAGAATAGGTCTTGTTTTCCAGGATATCTTGGGAAGCAACCAGCAGCGAGACTAGATTAACATCCTTACCTTCCAAGATATCCTTCATGTGTGCTGGTACCATTTGAGCTGGGTTAATGATGTATAGGTTTTGGAAAGGGCCAATTAATTTACCAGTCAAGGTGCTTGAGACCATTAGTTTCTGGAGTAACCAATCCAGATAGAGCAACTGGCCTATCAGTTGCATCCAACTGGTCCAGCTTATCTGTAATGCGTCCCAGTGAGAACAGGACTGAAGATGGTATGGCATGAAGGTTGGATGACTGGGCACTACTGGAGTCCTCGCCAGCCCGGGTTTTGTCTGTTTTGGTATTAATCAAACTATATAACTCTAGTAGATATTGGTGCGGTGTAAGTGACAAGGACCTACACCTATAAGTGGAGCGCTCAAACACAGATAAATCTTACCAAAACGTAGTCTCATTCAATGGTAAAATATGGGGTACATGTCAACATAAAATACAGAAAATACAATATAGTGTAGACGGTACTAAAAAATGGCTTCACAGTGATTATAATAATATTGTGTTGAATATTACACTCACATTTCAAGGAGCCTGTATATAGAAAACACTGGCTCCGTATAAAGGCTTGTGTGCTGTTATGGTAGCACCACCCTCCTACTTCGGCTTGAAGAATTTCTCAGGAACACGAAAAAAAGAGAAGAAAGCAAACCAATGTGTAGACTTATGGTGATAGATGGCACAGATATGTGTTCAATAAATGGGGTGCTCACCTGGTCCTGAGCCTACGAATCCCGGCTCTAGGTATGTGGATTTTGTGCCAGTTTGAATGGGGATGGCACTACCCCTGTGAGGATTCCTTGGAGGCTCCAAAAGGAACTTGGATGAGGTATTGAATAAAAATGGTGAATTTATTAGTTTAAAATAAACATAAAAACAAAGATGATAAAAGTCCTCAAATAAAAGTCCTTTAAAAATGGCCAATACGCGTTTCACTCTCAAATAGAGCTTCTTCAGTCAGCTGTAATGTTGGTCCTCCGAATCCTCCATTTTAAATGTCATCTGGGTCTTCCCCTTTAATGAGTTAAGTTCATTCTGTCCAATCAGATTAAATTTCACATAATGTGTGTGTATGTGTGTACCTTTAATAGGTTAATGATGTTGACGCCTTTATTTGTCTATTTTTTCATTGGTAGGCAGCATTGGTTGGCGGAAGTGCTTGTTTTCAACTGGGTGGTTGGCGGAAGTGACGTCATCTAATCATGTGATCGCCATCCAGCCAAATAAAAAAAAACAAAAAAAACAAATAGGGCTGCAGAATTGGAATGACAGTAAAATTGCATGATGTCAAATATTAAATTCCTAGTGATATAATATAAATGTTGGTGCATATAGACTAATATAATTACATTGTTAAAGGTGCATATAGTGCTGGGTTTTTTTTTGTTTTTTTTTTCTTCCTTTTTCATTGGTGGGCAGCATTGGTTGGCGGAAGTACTTGTTTTCAACCAGGTGGTTGGCGGAAGTGACATCATCTAATCATGTGATCGCCATCCAGCCAAGAAAAAAAAAAAAAAGGCAAAAAGGGCTGCAGAATTGAAATGACAGTAAAATTGCATAATGTCAGATATTACATTCCCAGTGATAAAATATAATTTGTGGTGCATATAGACTAATATATTTACATTGTTAAAGGTGCATACAGTGCCGATGGTACATATATTTTTATACATTAAAAAGGTGATATTACATACATATGTGCTGGAATAGATATCCTTATTGGGTATTTTCCCAAAAGGTGGTTAAATCAATATTCTTTAAGTGGTATTCACAATGTTTATAAGTTTGGGCATAAATAATATGCCACTGATTGAAAATGAATAAGAAAAATGTATAAAAGAAAAACAAGGGTACAAAAAGAGTAGAGTGGATTACAATGGATAAATTCCATTGAACCCCAAAAAAAGGGAGATACCCATTTAAATGAAATGGCAGAGTTCGAAGTCTATATTCAAACCCCGGGGCTTTAAGGTCCCGAGGTTGAATATCCACCTCATCTCACTCTGTCCCAGTAATTTATTAAGGTCGCCTCCCCGCCAATTCCCCTTAACCTTTTGTATACCCATAAAGAGTAATTGAGTGGGATCACTATTGTGGGCTAGGGTGAAGTGGTGTGATACACTGTGTCCTTCAAATTTTTTCTTTATATTTCTAGTGTGTTCCTCAATCCTAGTGTGCAAATTCCGTTTGGTGCGTCCCACATATTTTAAACCGCAAGGACATTCCAATAAATATATTACGTTGTTTGAGTAACAAGTTATAAGTTCTTTAATAGGGAATTCCTCATCGTTATTGCAGTTCTTAAAAGTCTTAATATGTCTCTTTTTATTGTTGGTGTTCCTACACGCAAGACAAGTACCACATCCGTAAAAACCCTTTCCTTTATTTAGGAAGGTAGTAGTTTTAGTTTTTTTAATGTGGTTCTTTACCAAAAGTCGGTTTAAAGTAGCTGCACCCCTAAATATTATCTTGGGTTTTGGTGGTAGAATCTGGGATAGGGCATGGTCCTGAAGTAAAATAGGCCAATGTTTATTTAGGATTTTCCTTAATGCCTTATTGTTATGGCTGTAATTACATACAATAGGTAAATTGACCTCACATTCATATTGCGTTTTGTTTTTTTCTTGTAATAAAGTGCTCTGTGAAATTTTTAAAACTTGTGTATAAGTGTCGTTGAGGGTCTCCTTTTTATAGCCCTTATCTAACAAGTCGGTAATTAATTTGTCTGCTTGTTCCTTGAAGGTGTCATTGTCCGTGCAATTTCTTTTTATACGTATAAGTTGTGATTTAGGTACACTATTTAGCCAAGGGGAAAAGTGACAGCTTGAGGTGTGGATAAAGCTGTTCACATCTACATCTTTAAAGTGTGTCTTGGTCTTGATCTTTTCATCATCAATAAAAATATCCAAATCTAAAAATGTAACCGTGTGTTTACTAAAATTTGTTGATAAAATAATGCCCCATTCATTATTATTTAATTGATTTAAAAAACTTTGTAGCGTATCTTCTGTGCCCTTCCAAATAAAAAACAGGTCATCTATGTAACGGCGATAGGTCACCAGGCCCCCTACCCAGCCCTCATTAAGTTGTAAGTGTTGGCGCTCCCAGTCTGCCATGAACAGGTTGGCGTAGCTGGGTGCGAACCTGGTGCCCATCGCCGTCCCACATGCCTGTAAGTAAAAAGTGTCATCGTACCAAAAATAATTACTGGTTAAAATTAATTGTATCCCTTCAATGATAAAATCAATTTGATCTGACTCAAATTTCTGAGATTGTTCTAAAAAGAATTGTACTGCTGCACAGCCCTTTTGGTGTGTGATAATGGTGTATAGAGAGCTGACATCAGCAGTTACTAGGTAATAGTCATGTTCCCATTTGATGGTCTGTAAATGTCTCAGAATGCTCCCTGTGTCTTTAAGGTAACTAGGGATGCCTTGCACTATAGGCTGGAGGCATCTGTCCACATACTCCGAAAATCTACATGATATGGAGTTGATGCCTGAGACGATAGGTCTTCCAGGTGGAACTATGGGGTTTTTATGCACCTTGGGGAGGTAGTAGAACACCGGGATCTTAGGGTGTGTTACGTTTAGATACTCAAATTCTTTTTTATTTAAAATCTCCTTTTGTAAACCCTTGGTTATGAGATCGTAAAATTTATTTTTAATTTCAATAGTTGGATCTCCTTTTAGTTGTGTGTAGGTTGTGTGGTCGTTAAGTAGCCTCATACATTCTGTGTGATAGTCTTTGACATTTAAAATGACTATTCCCCCCCCCTTATCCGCGGGTTTAATGATGATGTCATTATCTTTCTGTAGTTTTTTTAAAACTTTGTACTCATCTTTTTGAAGGTTTTGTGGGTAACAATTCGCTTTTTTTAATTTATTGATGTCTGACATCACCATTTTCTCATAGGTGGTCATTTCTCCTGAGATTAAGTGTTTTGGAAAAAACGTGGACTTTTCTTTTAATGTCGTGTGTGTATACTTTTCTGTATTAATTAGGCTATTGGTTATGGGATTTTTTTGGAAAAATTTTTTCAAACATAAGGTGCGTTTAAATTTATTTAGATCTACATACGTCTCAAATTTGTTAAGATTTCTAGTGGGTGCAAATTTTAGACCCTTCTGTAGTAATTTAATTTGTGTACGGTTCAATGTAGTGCAGGTGAGGTTAAAGATAGCTGCTTCTTTTTCCATCTCCTTTTGATTTTTTATGGGTTGCGTTTGTCCCTCTTTCCTCCTCTGTGTGTCCACGCCTCCTCTATTTCCCCTTCTTCCGTGCTCCTTTGTCTTTGGTTTGGTGATTTTTGGCGTGAGAGGAATTTGTGTTTGTCTTTGTTCCTCAGACTCCAAAAATCCTCTTCCCTTGTGATTTTTTCAAGAGGTTCAAATCTATTGTTGGTGGAAATATCGGATATTCTCCTAGGATTGTGTCTGAATTTGCTTTGTGCTGTTAAGAATTCATCTGATTTTGCTCTTTTTTCCATCTGGATAGGAGTTCTCATGTTGGGTGTGTGGGTTCTCCCATGGGGACTTGTGGAAGGTTTAGGTTCTATTCTCTCTCTAGGTCTCTTATTGTGATGGTCCCTAAATGGGTTTGCCCTTGGTTGATAATTTGTGCGTGTGTGATGTGGATTGTAAGAATTGTGTCTGTATTGATCATATGTATTATGATTTTCTGGTTTTCGATTTTTCCCAAATGTCCTAACTTCATTGCGTCTGTAGTCATTCTTATCACGTGTATATTTACTCTTTTTGATTTGTATAGTCTCTTGTTCTACTTTGTCTATAACACATTGGATTTTATCCGTGATCTTTTTATATTCGTCTGTGTTAGTGTGATTGATAAGAAAATTTTGTTCTTTATTAATTTCCATGTCTAATTTATCTAGTGTAAGTTTCCTCCTAGTTATGATTTTTTGCATCATAACAAAGGAGAAGGAATCAAGCATAGTGGCCCAGTCGTCCATAAATGCTTTATCTTCCTGATCAAATGAAGGGAATTTAAAAAACCTGAGTCCCCTTGGGGTGATTTTTTCACGAATGTATTTTTCCAGAGTAGCAATTTCCCATTTAATTCTGGTCTCCTTACTTAATGTTTTTTCAAGTATTCTCTGGCAGTCAAATATAGATTTTTCTTCCATTCTATCAATTTGGTTGAAGACAAATTCTTCTTCCCCAAATAATTCATCAATGTTAGTACATTGTTTTTTTCTTTGTTCGAATAATGACATAATGGCTATGTTTACACACGAGGATATATAGAATCTATGAATACCAATCAAAGGTTGCCTCTTTTTACTCAACATCATTAACCTATTAAAGGTACACACATACACACACATTATGTGAAATTGAATCTGATTGGACAGAATGAACTTAACTCATTAAAGGGGAAGACCCAGATGACATTTAAAATGGAGGATTCGGAGGACCAACATTACAGCTGACTGAAGAAGCTCTATTTGAGAGTGAAACGCGTATTGGCCATTTTTAAAGGACTTTTATTTGAGGACTTTTATCATCTTTGTTTTTATGTTTATTTTAAACTAATAAATTCACCATTTTTATTCAATACCTCATCCAAGTTCCTTTTGGAGCCTCCAAGGAATCCTCAGAGGGGTAGTGCCATCCCCATTCAAACTGGCACAAAATCCACATACCTAGAGCCGGGATTCGTAGGCTCAGGACCAGGTGAGCACCCCATTTATTGAACACATATCTGTGCCATCTACCACCATAAGTCTACACATTGGTTTGCTTTCTTCTCTTTTTTTCGTGTTCCTGAGAAATTCTTCAAGCCGAAGTAGGAGGGTGGTGCTACCATAACAGCACACAAGCCTTTATACGGAGCCAGTGTTTTCTATATACAGGCTCCTTGAAATGTGAGTGTAATATTCAACACAATATTATTATAATCACTGTGAAGCCATTTTTTAGTACCGTCTACACTATATTGTATTTTCTGTATTTTATGTTGACATGTACCCCATATTTTACCATTGAATGAGACTACGTTTTGGTAAGATTTATCTGTGTTTGAGCGCTCCACTTATAGGTGTAGGTCCTTGTCACTTACACCGCACCAATATCTACTAAATTTATTCAGTGGAATAGAGGATATTTCCACACTAGTGTATTGAGCTGCCTGTAAATCACTTTTTGACTCTTTTGAGCACTTTTGTTATACACACTCCTCTGTAAAAAGAGGCAACCTTTGATTGGTATTCATAAACTATATAACTCTGCCTTCCTGGCAGCGGCAGGGTAGAGGATATTCCTGCGTCTTTGTTCGCCCGTGATCCTGGGAATTGTCCAGGACCTAAGGGAAGACAGGCGGGCATTGTTCCCTCTCTGAGATGGACCTTGCCGGAGTACTGGGAATGGACATCTCATTTGCTTCTGGTAGGTCAGACATGCTAAAATAACACAAAAGATTAATGAGAAACCAAAGTGATAGTTATGTACTGGCTAGCTTACTAATGCCAAGTGGCGAAGAACTTATCTATGACCGGAGAGGGAAGCTCTTACTAGTTGCCAAGTGGCATGAGAGGCGGGGTGGTGGCCTCTCTGTGACTAAGACAAAAGATAGAATGGGAGCGACAGGGGAGGCCTTCTCTATTCCATTATGCAAGGCGACTATGTATTGGCTGTTTGGGCGTGAGTACCTAAGAATATGAGGATGGGTGTTGGCCTCGCAGGACCACTAAGACTTGGCAAGAGGGCCAGAAAATTCACCAAAGTGGACTCTGAACCCTATCAGCCAGTAGACCAAGTCTCACCCCGTTAGGAAGTGCCGGATGGGGATGGAAAAGTATAACGACCTCTGGGTACACCGACCTGTAGTTTATTGGAGAACTATGGTAGGAAAGCTTAGATGACTGAGTGAAGCCTATGAGAGTAAGTAGTCATCATGTAGTCACGTGATAGTAAAAGGAGGTACTAATATAAAATAATGTGGAATGCCTACCAGTCAATAGACTAGGCCTAAATATGAAGCAGCTGGAACGCAATTTGGTACTATAACCAGGGCCTAGTAACAAACGAAACAGATTTCCGAGCAAATGAGTGACATTTGGAATTGTAAGAAGAATCCAAAAACACTAACCAATGTAAGTATTGTCTAATGAGAAGACAGTAGACGTATGTTAATATGCAGAGAGACCTCAATCTGTACTATATAAATATGGTCAACTTAGAACTTTAAACAAGAGCATAGCTTATTACTAACTGATCAAGAATTCCAAAACCAACCTAAAGAGTGTGATAATTGAAACCCAAGTCAATCCTAAATTATAAGCCTTGATAACCTCAGAGGTACAGCAACAAAGGGGAAAGGATTTCAGTTCAGCAACCTAAATACATGTATATAAGGATCAGTTTAGAAAAAATAGCGACAAGTGCTGCTGAATTTAACTTGTGAAAACACATTATACTGGTAAATTGTAACACGTGCAGTACTTCTTTATGACTTCTAGGGATCCATAGTCTACCCAGCATATTCGTGGAGTGTAAACCGAATAGGCGCATAGACTCGAGAATCCTACTAGTGAAATTAGTACATTCGGCAATAATCATACGAACAGTTCCCAAAGAGGAACAAAGAGCCATATAATTGCCGAACGCTCCAGTAAAAAGGAACCACTATTACATATTAGCTGTGAGAAACGGAACGTTCGTGCGTGCAAATGAATTGCCGAACAGGTGAGTATAATCCTATGAACGACAAGTATACAAACAGATAGAATAAAATGGCAACTACCGAACTGTTCTATGTATGCAGGTTTAAACGAAAGATTGCACTAAACTGTACGGACAAAGGTATGTGAAATAGAGTTGGCCCGTGATGACGCTGTGCGTCTGCGACAGGGTCAACCAACTTACTGTTACAGTAGCTTTGTGACCGTGTGGTAGTGACTGGAGGTGAGGGGAAGAACCTGGCAGCTTTTAACAGTAGAAAGAACCTTGGTCTAGGAACGGGCAGGCACTCTGAAGGCAGGTAAGGAAAGAAAGCAGCAGCTGGAACTCCAGATATGCAAATTGCCAGACAACAATGGTAATGAGGAGGGATCTGGCAGTCCTTAAATAGGGAAATCATGCCCCTCCCACAACTACAGACCCAGCCTTCCATATATAAACAAACTGAGTATACCGATACAAGTAACCGATGCAGTACAGAGCTGTTAATTACTAAAGTATTCTCAATGTAATACTATAGTGGTGTACTATTATTCCTTTACATCTATACCAGTTACTGGTCTACGTTTTATATTTTAGATTTAGTGATATTTTATCTATTTGATCATGCAGTTTAAGAAGAAGGTGACCTACAAACATGTGATCAAAGAAGTTCAACTGATTTCTTGCACATCTAGTATAAATGATAAACTCAGATGGATCATTTTCAGCAGTGGGTGGTTCACAAGCATGTGCAGCCCAGGAGGAAGAGTTGGCAGATGGATAAAACTGCCTAGAGGATGGATATTTGTCAGACACTCTGTCCAGCTCTTCCTCTAATGCCCGGTAGCTGGCTTATTGCCATGCCTGGGATCGTGGTTATCAGGATGAATCTTTTGACGAGGATTGCACAGAGTCAACCCACCACACTGTCTGTGTAAGATTATAGTGAGCTCTTCCATTTATGCTGTGAAACATGCATTGTTAATGATGATTGGATGGACCTTTAAAATATGCTGCTTTGGAATCATAAGATATGACTGGAGATATTAAAACTGCATATGTGGACTTCTGTGTTTTTGCAGTGTGATATATTATGGAGCAAATATAGAATTGCTAAATAATTCTATTCATTGATTAAAAACCTGCATGGTGTTTTGGCATTTTATTTCTCTGTTATTGGGATGTTACAGGAACGCTAGTAACCATAATAACTCATGCTTCTTGCATTGGTTATGCAAGGAGCACCCCTATCCTTTTCTTTCTGGGCTCAATTGCTTAGGTCGACAGTTATTTTCAAAATATTGTACCACAATGAAGGTTCTTTTGGAATTTGCAAACTGGTATCTACTGTGGCCAAAGTGACTTCGCCATTTGCCCTGTGATGATGGCCTCTTTAATTTGTTTTGGCTGAGAGACCCTATTTGTGGCTATTGGAACTTTAAACAATGGTTCTTCTAACTCCTGAACAGTCGAAGTGGCCGCCATTCGAACACATGGGGGAGGCCATCTTGTTTGCATGGACTAAAAGCGCAAATAGACTTCAGGGGGACTTAGTCACGAATCCCCTGGAACTATTTTCAGAATGAAAACCTCGCGGTTCCCGGTTGGTCCTTCAGCGGGACTTAGCCGCGAATCTATGGAACTGTTTTGTGCATGAAATCCTGGGTTCACCTGGGCAAAAATATGACTTCCATAAAATCTCTGAACCCCTTATCTGATCTGGGTGATTTTTGGATATGTTGTTCACCCAGATATGAGCCATCAGGGAATGTAACATTATTATACGTTGTGTTTTGGGGTACTTATGGTATTTTATAAAAATGTGTTTTTTCTGCCTGGGGATAATTAAGTTAATGCATTACCTTAATTGTATCAAAGGCAGAGGGGAGGGATTGTTTACTGTATGTGGGTGTGTCGTTCATTGTTACATTGTTTTTATTGGTCTGTACAGTTTATAAAGTGGTGCTCCATCAGGTCCAGGTGGTGTGCCTCTGGCCTGAGGAATTTTATATAAAGCCAACCTGTACCAAAATGTTAAATGTTCAGTTCTACTTCACCCTCAATCTAGAGTCTTGTCTCTTATTCGGAGGAATTTATTTAGCATTACAAGGGATTGCTATGATCATACTCCCTTGGATAATCACTAGCTCTTGTAAGAGCTGTTCCTGCTACGCTCTCTGAAGGAAGAGAGGTTCATCCACTGGAACCTGGAGCCTTGTCGTAGGTCCAGGGTGGGTAGGAGGCGGCGAGACCCCAACCAAGCTGCGGCTGTTCGTGTGGTCTGCAGTACTTATGTGTCTGTCTTAGGTGTCTGGAGAAGTGCTGGGAGCCCTCGGTAAGCACTAGGAGCATCCATCGGCGGAGGTACCCAACCGGGGTACAGGAAGCTCCGTTACATCTACACAGTGTATAAAGCCACTGTAGCAGTTATGGTGCTAAAACCACAACAACCCATGTTTCTTGCATTGGTTATGCAAGGAGCACCGCTAGTTTTCTGGGCTCAATTGCCTAGGCCAGTTTTTTTTTTCCCCACTTGAAAAAAGTTTATTATTTTCTCTTTCCAAGATAAGAGCATCTGAGTTTACTGTAGTTCTGTACAATTTAGCTGTGATGTTCTCCTAGGTACATCAGACATACTATGTATTTATACAGTGCATATAGATAACTGAACGCCACATGCTTGTCCTCAGTAATCTTAACAGACATAGGTAGGACAACCTCTCTATTCATTGTGGAATTGCTAGCAGGATACCATACCTTATATTTATAACAGATCTTTGAGTCCAGATCTTTATGTCTCCCAAATTTGCCATCGTTCATTTGAGGTTTTAGACAGGGGGAAAGTTACTCTAAAAGAGTATTCATAGATACGTTGTACATCCAGGTCTGATTATTTTGGGGGTTTTTGGTGTGAGGGCTGTCTTCCAGGCTCTCACTATATGATGCTGTTCAGTTAAGATAATTTGCAGTATTACTTTCTGTTCTGGTTTAGGGATACAGGCAGGGAGGTTAGCTAACTGGTAGATCGCCCAGAGAACAGTCTACTATTCCATTTATAAATTTGTGCAATCTTTTCCAGAATGCATAGATAGGTGCACATTTCCACCATATGTGGTGCCCTCCTGGTCACCACATCTCCAACAGGTTGGAGGACTGCACTGGTATATTCTATGTAATCTGGTGGGTACCAAATACCACCTGTAAAGTACTTTGTGTTGTTCTATATGTGTGTGGAGGATTTAATCAGACCCTTTGGGGCCAAAATCATCTGATCCCATTGTTTGGGTGGTATAGAGCACTGGATATCCGCCTCCCATTGTTTGGCATATTTGGAAGCTGAGAAAGGCAAATAGTCGATTATAGATCTATAGCACATGAAGATCTGTTTACAACCAACCGGTAATTGCTTGTTTATACATATTTGTTCCCATTCCGAGATCAGGTTCGTGGAAGCATTAAACTGGGCACGTCAATGTACTAACATGAAAACCACAGCACATTATGCTAATAGGGCAGAGTCGTGATCTAGCCACAGTTATCCTATAGCAAGAGGCATATTGCAAACTTTACCAGCTGGGGAAACCAAAGGGGCTAGGGATGTACTCTCTAACAGATCTGAGTAATCAAATTTCTAATCTAATCTAGACTGCATCAAAGCTTAAACCAGGTGTAGAACCGAATGAGGCATTGTAAATACAAGTTACTAGTCCATGTCATCTAGACCGATTGTGTCATACGATAGCCGTGTGGAGAGTATGGTAAGGTTAAGACTGGGTCCAATCCGTGGTCATCCGAGGTATCTTCGCGGGTATAGCAGGTTGGAACTCCGGTAGTGGGATGCCCCAGTCAGACAGCTTCTGCAGGACCTGTTCAGTGGTTGTAACAATGTATACAGCCTTGCTGCAGGATGAGTAGCTTCGCCGGATAGTCCCAGCAGTAGAAGTCCTTCGTCTACAGTATAGAGGGGAGTGTGGACAGTGACTTGCGGAACTGCAGAGAGATCAGCAAAGAGCTTGATGTTTCCATATGGCTCTGGGAGATCGCTGTTACTACAGTCCTTGCCCTCATGGTGGTAGTGGTTAAGGGGCTCTCCTCAGTGTAGGAGCTTGGTGAAGCTATTGGGGAGTGGGAGACTTCCCGCAAGTGTGAGTCGCTGCCATCTTGAGAGTGGTTAAGGCCTTCCTGGCATTTCCTCGTGGAGGCTCATGCTTGGTCCGCCTTTGCAGCTTTCGCACACAGCAATGCAATTCTAGAATATGAAAATGGAGAAGAACATCACAAGTGCAATTTTTAAATCGCCATAAAGAAACTGGAAATATTGATACTTTATTACTTCAACAGTTTTGCTTAAAGCAGGAACATTGGCATAAAGTGTTTACACATATAGCTTGGTGCTACTTCTAAGTGCTGTTTCTAAGTGTGTAGCTGGAGATATTCTGGAGAGTTTTACAGAAGCTTCAACTGTCTAAGAGTTGTGCTAAGAGCTTTCTTTTCTACTGTTACAGGTAAGATTCATCTGTAGGAAAAGGTTACTGATTGCCCAAGGTTTGAATTCCTGTTGGTAATTATAAGGCATTTGATTTGATTAAGCTAGTTACTTGCTGTTGATTGCTGGTTAATTAGCTATTGTTTGCAAATAAGCAGAGGCCTACCCAGGTGTTAAACATTCCTAGTGGGCGGTGATTTTAGGAGTTATATAAGGCCTGGTTCCATTAGCTTGTCTAATATAGCTTGGTGCTACTTCTAAGTGCTGTTTCTAAGTGTGTAGTTGGAGATATTCTGGAGAGTTTTACAGAAGATTCAACTGTCTAAGAGTTGTGCTAAGAGCTTTCTTTTCTACTGTTACAGGTTAGATTCATCTGTAGGAAAAGGTCACTGATTGCACAAGGTTTGAATTCCTGTTGGTAATTATAAGGCATTTGATTTGATTAAGCTAGTTACTTGCTGTTGATTGCTGGTTAATTAGCTATTGTTTGCAAATAAGCAGAGGCCTACTCAGGTGTTAAACATTCCTAGTGGGCGGTGATTTTAGGAGTTATATAAGGCCTGGTTCCATTAGCTTGTCTAATATAGCTTGGTGCTACTTCTAAGTGCTGTTTCTGAGTGTGTAGCTGGAGATATTCTGGAGAGTTTTACATAAGCTTCAACTGTCTAAGAGTTGTGCTAAGAGCTTTCTTTTCTACTGTTACAGGTAAGATTCATCTGTAGGAAAAGGTTACTGATTGCACAAGGTTTGAATTCCTGTTGTTAATTATAAGGCATTTGATTTGATTAAGCTAGTTTCTTGCTGTTGATTGCTGGTTAATTAGCTATTGTTTGCAAATAAGCAGAGGCCTGCCCAGGTGTTAAACATTCCTAGTGGGCGGTGATTTTAGGAGTTATATAAGGCCTGGTTCCATTAGCTTGTCTAATATAGCTTGGTGCTACTTCTAAGTGTGTAGCTGGAGATATTCTGGAGATAAACTGGAGGTAATCTGAGGTATTTAGGAGGATAAAGAAAAAAGTTAAGATTTTTTAGATTTAAATTATTCTTATAATTGGAATGGCAGGCTTAGTTCAGTGTAACAATTGCTATGCATTTGTTTCACGTTCCACTTTTTGGAGGTTTGGTTGTTGTCTAATCTGTAGACAGTTCTCTATCTTGCGGCGGGAGATTGTATTTTTGAAGTCTGAGATTTGTAAATTATCTGGTGAAGAAACTCAGACTGGAACTGCTGCAAAGCCACTGCTGCAGAGACATGCTAGGAAAGGCAGATGGATTACTGTAGGATCTGGTAGACTTAGAGTTGTGGATAAAAGGCATTTTGCACAGTCTGTTGCTCTTCATAATTCATTTTCTGCACTTTCAGGGTGTAATGGTGTTGTGGAGAGAGGCACTGAGGCTAGTGGTGTTGTGGAGAGAGGCACTGAGACTAGTGGTGTTGTAGAGAGAGGTACTGAGGCTAGTGGTGTTGTGGAGAGAGGCACTGAGGCTAGTGGTGTTGTGGAGAGAGGCACTGAGACTAGTGGTGTTGTGGAGACCGGCTTGGAGAGGATGGTGAAGCCTAATAGAAAGCAGTTGTTGTTGGGTGATTCCATTATAAGAGGTGTGGAGATGGACAATGGTGGTCTTGTGAGGTGTCTTCCTGGAGCTACTGCTCACAGAGACAGGAGGCGTATCTGTAATATTGTTAAGCAAGCAAAGCAGGAAGGGGAATTGGATGTACTTGTCCATCTAGGGACAAATGACTTGGCTTGCAATGAGGTTTCAGAGGTTAAGGAAGTTTTTAGTGTTTTTGCCAATGATATACGGCAGGTTGCTTCCACACTGTCATTCTCTGAAGTTCTGCCTGTGCATAACACTCAGAGCGACAGGCGGATGCGTATTAGGGACTTTAATTTGTGGCTTGGTGAATGGTGTCGGGAGCAAGGATTTGGCTTTATTTCTCATGGTAGCTCTGTTTGGAATGGAGATAAACTGTACAAAAAAGATGGTTTGCATCTTTCTCAAAAGGGAACAAATGTTCTCAGTGAGCAGTTCAGAGGTTTTGCTAGGATGTATTTAAACTAGGAGGGGGGGGCAAAAGGGTGATAAAACATCAATCCAATTGTCCCCAAAACAAGGACAGAAGGTGCCTGTAGCAAGTGTGTTAAAAAATGATAAGCTTAGAGTCATGTCTACAAATGCTCGCAGTTTAGGGAATAAGATCCATGAACTTGTGGCAATAATGGCAACTGATAGTGTAGATTTAGTAGCTGTTACTGAGACATGGTACAATGAGAAAAATGACTGGGACATAGCAATACCAGGGTACTCTTTATATAGGAAAGATAGGGAAGGCAAGAAAGGGGGAGGGGTGGCCTTGTATGTGAAGGATAGCATAAAATCTAGCCTAATAAAAGTTAGTGAGGCAAACATAGAGTCCGTTTGGGCTACGTTAGAATTTAGTAATCACACAGTAACTCGTGTAGGTGTGATTTATAGGCCCCCAGGACAAATTGAAGAGTTAGATAATCTACTAGTTGAGGAAATAGCTAAAATGACAATGAAGGGGGAAGTTATCATCATAGGTGACTTTAATCTTCCTGATGTAAATTGGAAAACAGAATTAGCTACTTGTGCCAGGAGCACACATATTCTAAACTCCCTACTGGGATTGTCTCTAAAACAAGTTGTTGAGGAGCCAACTCGTAAAGAGGCCATACTAGATTTAATGTTAACAAATGGAGATTTGGTATCAGATGTTACTGTAGGTGAAAGTTTAGGATCCAGTGATCATCAGTCAGTGTGGTTTAATATAAGAACAGTGACTGAGTCACACCACACAAAAAAAAAAAGTTTTAGACTTTAGAAAAACAGACTTTTCTAAAATTAGAATATGGGTAGAGGAGTCATTATCAGACTGGAGCAATTTAAATGGAGTCCAAGAAAAATGATTATTTAAAAGTTGCACTATTGAAGGCAACAGAAAATTGCATTAGGCTTGTCAGTAAAAGCAAAAAATACAAGAAACCACTGTGGTACTCCGCAGATGTGGCCAAAATAGTTAAAAACAAAAAGTTAGCATTTAGGAATTATAAAAAAAACCAGAGTGAGGAAGACAAAATGATCTATAAGATTAGGCAGAAAGAGGCCAAGCAAGTTATAAGAGCTTCCAAATCACACACAGAAGAGAAAATAGCACAGTCAGTAGAAAAGGGGACAAAACTTTTTTTAGATACATAAATGAGAAAAGAAAAGTAAAACAAGGATTAGTTAGATTAAAACCAAAAGAAGGAAGGTATGTAGAAGAGGATAAAGGTCTAGCTGACTGCCTCAATTAATATTTTTGTTTTGTATTTACAGATGAAAATGAAGGAAAGGGACCTCAGTTGAGAAAAAAGGATAAATGAGTCATTTATTACACGTGAGTTTACAGAGGAAGAGGTTCTATTTCAACTGTCAAAAGTAAAGACAAATAAGTCAATGGGACCTGATGGAATACACCCAAAGCTATTAAAAAGAGCTTAGTGGTGTACTAGCAAAACCATTAACAGATTTATTTAACCAATCATTGTTAACAGGAGTAGTCCCAGAAGATTGGAAGTTAGCGAATGTTGTGCCCATTTACAAGAAAGGTAATAGGGAGGAGTCGGGCAACTATAGGCCAGTAAGCCTTACTTCAGTAGTAGGGAAAGTGATGGAAACCATGTTAAAGGATAGGATTGATGAACATCTAAAACACATGGATTTCAAGATCAGAGACAACATGGGTTTACTTCAGGGAGATCATGCCAAACTAATCTTATTGATTTTTTTGATTGGGTAACTAAAATAATAGATCAGGGTGGTGCAGTAGACATTGCTTACCTAGATTTCAGTAAGGCTTTTGACACTGTTGCGCATAGAAGGCTTATCAATAAACTGCAATCTTTAAGTTTGGATTCAAATATTGTTGAATGGGTAAGGCAGTGGCTGAGTGACAGGCAACAGAGGGTTGTAGTCAATGGAGTATATTCAAAGCTTGGGCTTGTCACCAGTGGGGTACCTCAGGGATCTGTACTTGGACCCATTCTCTTTAATATTTTTATTAGTGATATTGCAGAAGGTCTTGATGGTAAGGTATGTCTTTTTGCTGATGATACGAAGATATGTAACAGGGTTGATGTTCCAGGAGGGATAAGCCAAATGACAAATGATTTAGGTAAACTAGAAAAATGGTCAGAAGACCATATTTGATAGAGTCCTAACCTCAACATCTGAGGAAAGGGATTTAGGGGTGATTATTTCTGATGACTTAAAGGTAGGCAGACAATGTAATAGAGCAGCAGGAAATGCTAGCAGAATGCTTGGTTGTATAGGGAGAGGTATTAGCAGTAGAAAGAGGGAAGTGCTCATGCCATTGTACAGAACACTGGTGAGACCTCACTTGGAGTATTGTACACAGTACTGGAGACCGTATCTTCAGAAGGATATTGATACCTTAGAGAGGGTTCAGAGAAGGGCTACTAAACTGGTTCATGGATTGCGGGATAAAACTTACCAGGAAAGGTTAAAGGATCTTAACATGTATAGCTTGGAGGAAAGACGAGACAGGGGGGATATGATAGAAACATTTAAATATATAAAGGGAATCAACACAGTAAAGGAGGAGACTATATTTAAAAGAAGAAAAACTACCACAACAAGAGGACATAGTCTTAAATTAGAGGGACAAAGGTTTAAAAATAATATCAGGAAGTATTACTTTACTGAGAGGGTAGTGGAT